GAGGGGAAGGAACATCAAAGAGGAAAAAAGTCGAGAGGGGTAGGGAACAGAAGAGTGTTTCAAGGATGTAAAAGAGATAGACACAAAGGTAGAAAAAAAGGTGAGGTGAGTACCGTGAAAGTAGTCGAATATGACATACAGTGGGGTCATGGTAGTTTGAAGTCAGAAGTCAACTTCCGGTTAATCGACTTTCTTGCCTTATGAGTATACGTTGCCCAGGGTGCACCACGAGGAGGTAAATGGGTGCAACAGGTAAGAGGTTACAATAAGCCGTTATTTAAGTGCGAGAGCCTGAGACTTTTTATCCGGTGATATTCAAATGATATATTCGTTTCTTTACTTCAATAGCGACTCCAAGAAATGCGTCGCAAGATGAAACAAAAGAAGCACCAACTTCAGGAAATTCAGGATGCCATTTATGCTGTTGACATTGACGAAAACGATATGACCATTAATGATCTCAGAGCTGAAATGAAGTAAGTTAGGCCGTCCTTTACAGAAATTTTATTGTCCGAATCATTTAAAACAGGAATTAGCATACCTATTTACGAAAATATCTCAGAGATTAAGTCTAGGCGATATGGTAGGCCACACAACTCGAATTTCACACCAGAAAGACTTTAATGCTACTCTACTGAAGATGAGTTTTGAAAGGGCTTAGAAGTTTGAATAAGCAATTCCATTACTTACATATTAAATGTATTAGATAAATAACTACAATTTAACTAAAATCGACTTTCCTAGTGGTGAAGTAGACAGTGAAACGTTGGCAACCATCTTCCGCTCTGCTGACACTAATAATGACAAGAAACTCAGCAAGGATGAACGCCGCGCTCTTCGTGTCACCCTCGAAAATAAAAAGGTACTTACAGTCTCGTAGTTTGTTCTTACGACTAACTTTATTAGTTACAAATTAGGCTATTCATTTTGTCAGAGGAAATTGCAAATCAGGAGGTAAAAATAATCTTTATGGGATATTCAATCTTTAAGAGAAGAACAGTGAGATCTGTTCTATAGGACAGGTGGGAATGACTTCTTCATTTTACAATTCAAAGTAAGATATTATTGCTTTGTAAACACGTTGTTTGAGGAGAATTGTATTGATGGCAACTTGGAGGCATGTATTCGTATATTATTACTTCAAATGGCGGGCTTTATGATATTTATCATTAGCCCCTAAAATGGGGGTACATATATAGCAGTTAACTAATAGCAGTTCATTAGCTGTCTTCTGGTTTCCCAGTATCTCTGGGTTTCTGTCGTTGTCTTTACGGCTGGACACTGAATCAGGTGGGTCTTCTCCATTTCCTCC